ACGGGGTACTGAAACCTTATCATTAGAGACACTACATCAATAATAGGTAGCTAGCTAGTCTAATGTTACTTCTGTAAGGTAAATTCGCTAGCCCTACCTTTCTCTTGTGATTTTGTAACATGGATTTCTCTGTATGTATACATATAATGTAATATTGAATTAAGTAACTCGCGCACTTACATCAAGTAATGAAACTCAATTAAAATGAATAACTATGTACGCCTGTCTGTACTCTTTGACTAAATCACTAAACCTGAATTTCGGTACGTGACAAATAATAAAGGAGTCGTTTGAAAACGACGTCGTTTCTTTATATCGGCAAAATAAGAATTTTGTGGGGGCGAAATAGAGAATGAGATTTTGTATGGAAAATCAATTTTACATAAAGACGATGACACGGGAACTTCTTTATAATAAGTGTGCAATTCACAGTTTACCTGCACAGCTGTTACCGTAACAAACAATAACCACTAAGTATATTTCCTCTCCCTATGTTATGATACATAATATACTCTATGTTATAAACAGCTATTTATGCAAAAATGTTTTTAGCATGTCATAATTAAGTCGCTTAAATAGAGACTTAATACGTGATCGTAGGAATATTGTTCCCGGACGATGTCTTAGATCCAACCCAAGTATAAATATGGTTTCATGGAAGTGTGCATTAACAATTCTATGCACACGCTTGATAATTTACCAGCCTTTTTTTCGCCCAGAGAAAATGAGTGACGCATACTCCGCCGCTGGATATTGGCAATCTCCCGTCATCCCGTCCATCCCCTGAACCAGCCTATACGAATGACTCAACTGCTGCCCGGAATGGGGGAGCCCTACACACTAAAATCTCTTGGATGTGCTCAACTTCCCAGCGGGAGCGGAGGGGGTTCCTTATTGGGAATCAACCACTCCGCGACTGGCGGGCCCGGCTCTAGCATATAATTTACCAGCCTAGCGATATATGTCATGTCATAAGACAAGATTTTATGTAGCGTATGTAATTTTAAAAACACAACGATGAATGGATTAGCCTGTATGTAATAATATCTTTCGTTCTAAGTGCGTAGTCTTATATAGTCGCCCAAGGCAGAGGCAAATTTTATCGCACATTTAGCACCCTCAGAACAACCTCATAAAAACAGTATCCAAAAAAAATCGTAAAATTTTGCGAATCCTTATTTTTATTTTGATGTCTTACAATAAGACTTCCATATTTTGCAATAAAAGCTTTTCTGGGGGCAGACCGCCCCATACCGCCCCATCCACGGTACGCCGCTGTTCTTGTTATTGAGTAAGACATAAATGAGTTTTTGTTATTACTATACACAGATTTACTGTATTGAATGATGAATAGTGTGACATCACCTGTAACCAACATATGATTCGTTTCAAGCCATTACTTATGTTAAGTTTAGTATTGCGTTAAAACGATTCACTTTAGATAAAATGTAAAACTAAGAACATTGGAATTCATATTTTGCACAACTATTAACCCAACAGAAATGAGTAGGAATGGTAATAACGTTGCCTCAGTAGATTCAACTTAGAAACGAACGACTAAGTTGGTAGGTAATTATGTTATAAGCACTTTGTAGCCAAATAAGTGTCGTGCTCTGAAAATTACAGGCTATATCGCAACACACACACACATGATATATTTTTTACTCAACTGCGACGAAGGAAAAAAAGGGAGGATTATTTCTTTTAAATGTGTTTTATACTTATATGATTGTTCCTATACCCATTCGTAACTACTCAATCGCTCAATTGATCGATCGTCAGAGAAAAATAAAAATGTGCTCATTGCTAATAAAATATGGCAGAGTAAGTAGTAAACTGAAATTAAAATATTATTTATATATATGTATATTTGGTGATGCACTTTTGTATGAAACAGCAGTATTTTAAGCGTTGGTCCCATAATAAAGTTGTACCTGTTGATGGGTAGGACAACCCCTAAAAGGTTGTTGTTTTAAAATTAACCCCTGTATATACACTCGACTGCAAATAAACTGGGCCACTTGCTACCACGGAACTGTGATTTGACTTTCTCAAAAAGTATAAAACTTACAACTATCAAAATTATAACTACAGAAACTGCGTTTCGTGGTGATTAAAATGAACTAGAATTTAATGAGATTAATCAATTAATTAATTTTTTATTAATTGATTAATCTCAATGTAGAGAGTCTAATATTGTATAAATAATGGTACAGAACCCTTTGTGCGCGAGTCCGACTCGCGGGTGGCCGGTTTTTTTTATATTTATAGTCTGATAGCCCTGTGGATGGGTGGTGAGCAGAAGGTCCAGTAAAGAACGCTTGACTTAGAATATCTGTTAGTAGTACTTAGCTGAGTACATGGTCAGTTTTGGAGGAACTTAACCATAAACTGTGGTTAAGTTCCTCCAAAACTAGCCTAACTTAAAGTCTCCCAAAAACACCAATTCTGCATTGGGAAATTGTTCCTGCGCGTCATCTGCGGCCCGACTAAGATGTTCAAAAAGTCGAGTTCTCCTCAACATCGTCGGTGTGGGATCTGTAGAGGCACACGTAGACTCTGGCTAGGGGACCAGAGTCGACGTGTACCCCCAGCATGGAGAGGGATTTTATTTTCTCAAAAACTACGTATCGTAGAAATTTTCCAGTATTTTTCAGTGCTTATAATAGCTCAATCTATAGAAATTTGGGATAAATGGCATGTCACAAAATCGAGGTTCTTAAAACACTGCGTGCCGGGATCACACGCCCCGGTCTTCAACCGGCACGACAGTCCACCCCGAGATTATGCATGAAATACAGATATACTTTCTATAAATGTCCCTGTGGCAGTGATGTCGACAAGCTAGGAGATCACGGACTGTCATGCCAAAAAAGTGCAGGCCGTTTCTCGAGACATGCCGCACTTAACGATATCATACGCCGGTCCCTTGCCACCGTCAACGTGCCAAGTCTACTTGTGCCGACTGGTATTGCAGGCCGCGTGCTCAGCCCCCAAGCGCGGGCCTACCTGCGCACGTATGCGGGGTCCCCGCAATACCTCGGGAGACCCCTGCCGTGGAGTCCCGGCGAGGCCGGGAAGCTGCTGGGTGGGGGGATGCGGAGAAACCCCTAACCAAGGGATCCGCGGCTCCGCATCCAGCAATGTTGAAGATCTTCGCAGGACTTTTTAAGCGGATATTATGCCGTAAAGCGCCCGTAAGAGGTGCGGGGTCCTCGGTGGGCAGCCACTGGTCCGTTCGGCGGTGTGCCTCTTTAAGGCGGCGCCGTCGTCTGTAAAATGATTTTTTACCTGCGTTGAAAAAAAGGAGACGATGGCAAGAGACCGGACGGTATGAGTTTGATTCCATGGAAGATGGGCCGGGTGCTAGTATGGGATGCAACCTGTTCAGACACGCTGGCCCCTTCCCATCTACATGGAACCATCAACAGAGCTGATGCGGCTTGCGAAGCGGCTGAAAAAGCTAAGGCATGCAAATACAGGGGTCTCGGCTCTGAATATGATTTTGTCCCATTCGGTGTCGAGACCCTTGGTCCGTGGGGTCCTAGCGCTGTAAGGCCTTTTAAGGAAATGGCCAAAATGTAAGTCAACATCACAGGAGACCGAAGAGCTAGCAGCTATCTCGGACAAAGAATTAGTCTAGCTATTCAAAGGGGGAACGCGGCCAGTATCTTTGGAACCTTGCCTAAACGGACTCCTTTTAATAATGTATTTTAAATATTGCACGTCATATATGTCAATGTATTATTTTATTCTTGTTAAATAACATACTATAATGAAAAACCTATGCTTTTTTAGGAAGAACCAGTGAAATGTCTAAAACACATTATTCAGTTAATACATATCGCAATTTCTTAGATAAGCGCAATCGTGATGATAACTTTTTTTTTGTTTAAACTGTTTATTAAGTAGGCCATTTTATTTTTTAATAAGATTTTTGTAAAATTTTATAAATATATATTTAGTTACGTCATTGATTGTTTTTTAAGAACTATTCTCTCTTAATCTGATAAGCGGGGACCTTATTATCTTACGGACCAATCGTCAATATCGTATGATGCTGGTGACTCCAACTCTTGCCCTTCACGTGATCTTGAGACCTGGTTCACATGCATAACGCATGCGGCCTTACACGCAAAGATTGTATATCTATACTCCGCTAAATGTACCTAATATACAAACTGGTTAATAGCTCCCGCTCTGTAACTGGTCGTAAAGTAATTTTATTAGGCTCTAGGCTTGTTTTGTTGTTCGAAGTCGTTGTGTTCTCAGTAGGTGTTGGTTTAAATGACAAGAATATTCGAAACGACACAATTGTAATGAATAATAATAACAAATTTAATAATACATATAATGACTCAACCGATAATTTTATGATTTTCAGGAAAAGGAATATATATATATATAGGATAAGAATTTGAAGGTTTGAAAACTATGTATGAAAATGTCTTTTTGTAAATTCAAAACTGCAAAGGAAAGCTTGATTTCAAAGGATGAAAAACAAACCCTATAACAACTTGACTTTTTTTATATAAAAAAATTAAAGATTAATTTGTACCTACCTTTTTTTAAATAGTAATTATCTACTAACATGCAATCTAAGGGAAATTACTAGAAAAATTTAATGAAGCCGACTGGAATCGAATTGACCCATTACCGCATATGCTCAAGTTGTAATAAGTAGGTAGGTAGTTGTTATTCCAATATTTTTCTTTTGACACAATAATTTGGCAGACGCAAAAAATACAGTAATATGACTTGTTTTTTCAAATAAAATTACCTGCGGATTATGATTCGGTACATTTAAATTCTGCGTAAATGTGAAACAAAACAATAAATATTTTGACAAAGTAATTAGATATTTGTGTATCAATCTTTAATTAAGGTTAATTACCAAACCACGTATTTCCGTACATTATTGCTCTGTACGTAACGTATATAATTAATACGTGGTCATTGTATGATATCAAATAAAAAAATGAGTGCGTGATATTAAAATCACCTTTTTATGTCGACTTAAAGTAAACAATTGAGAATTCATAACACATATTGATGATAGTGTTCATGATATTAACGTGATCAACTCTTCCCAAGCTTTAGTCGTTATTTGGAGTTCACTAGAGCTCTAAGGCTCCGGCAAAGATTAAAATGTATCATATATATTTTTCTTAATTTAACTTAATAAAATAATATGATAAAATCTTTAGCTCGCATATAAGCTTTTTCAAGTTTTTCGACATACTGTGATACATTGTTTTGATCTCGTTTTCTTTATATTAATACTTTTTACTAATTTAATTATTTCTTCAAAATGGAATTTCTGACGCGCAAAGTCAAATCCTACAATCACACTGACAGTCGTCAAATGAATGGCTCTAGCGAAAATCACAAAAGCAAACGGTAAGTTATTGTTTAATTTAAATTTATTTGCAATTCATTGGTATTTAAGATTTTCTAGGCTAAAGTAATGCAAAATAAATCTTGTTAATAGGTTATACCTGAGATTGACGGGTTGACGAAAACCGAAATGATATATGCTGATCCAGTGTAAATATTGCTTCGGTTGACCGAATTCGAGAAATACTTTCGTGCACCCAAGTACGGGCTAGCTGCCAAATGTAATTGCGCCATACGATCGGTGTTTTCAGTTAGAAAAAAGAAAATAATATACTTACTATTTAATTTATATTGTAGAGGCTTAAGAAAAAAGTATTCGGTAAAACTGTACTTCCAGGGCCCAAAAGGTGATCCTTTTTTTTTTTTTTTTTGTAGAAAAGGTCTTTTTAACAGTTTTTTTTTTCTGGCGCTTCGCCGGCCGCTGCCGCGGCACGCTCGCTTTGCTCGCTCGGCTCGCGCGTTATGGTCACAACACTAACCTAACCTAACCTAGTGTGAAGTATCACCACTTGATAAGAAAAGTAAAAATTTTCAATATTTTTTTCTAAAAAACTACCAGTGCATAAGTGTGACATTTTTTTTAATAATGTGGTTAACAGAAACCTTTTTAACAACAAAAATGAGAAATTACAACCAACAAAACTGTGAAGTTTTTACTTTTGGGCCCTGGAAGTACAGTATATCCAAGTATTCTGTTTCAAAATCCCTTTACATAACAAAAAGAAAACAGTGTTTATAACAAGTTGCACAGACTAAGTCGCATTGGACACAGATTTAAATAAATAAATTGTTAATATTATTTAAATTATGTCTTTGCTTGGACTGAAAGAAACTGTGTCGATTAAGAACTTCTTGCCCATTGAATCGTTACACTGCTTAATAGATTTTTAATATTTTTTTCAGTTACCTTACAAGTTGCAAAAGCTGCACTTGTTATTCGCAGAGATAAAGGGTAATAATTGTATAACTGCAGTATTAGATATCGTATTGCTGGGTACTCGATCTTTTGTATAGTAGAAGTATAACAACCAGATAAATTGGTATATTGTATTTTGGTCTTCCATAGTCACTAACATTGAAGTAATTTATGCTATTGATGGGATTAGGAATAAGGTACATGATAGCTATCCCGTAAATAACATAAATTACTACAAATTAATTAGTCTAAGTAAAGGAACAACGTTTACTTCAATTTACTTTGTATTACATATTTTGTTGCGTTGTAGCTGAAGACACATTCTGTATATTCATCATGACGTAACAATAAAATATTAAGAAAAACCTTATTTTAAATCATAAACGTAACTAAATGCTACCAGAAACAATACTAAGGCGATCTGTATTTAATCAAAAATAATGTAAGATCGTCATTTTATGAACGCCTGCAACAAATCTCATTTTCTTCGATAGGAAATTGCAATATTGATTACTATTATCAGGTTTGGATGTTGACCGATGTAATGGTATGAATCTATCATCATCATCAAGTAATTAATGTCCCCACAGCTGAGGTTTTGATAGACCTTTCAACACCACATATCCGTGACTCACCACGCGAGCTTAGTGCGGAATGACCGAAAATGTAGTCGGGATGTAGAAAAAAATATAAGTATTTTCTGAAAAAGTTTTCACCTTTCTTGCATTTTTTTAAAGAATGAAGTTTTCATATTAAGTAATTGAAAAATATTTAGTCTCTTTTATAATTTATTTTTTTCTGACGCAATACTATCAACAAATTTCCTGTTTAAAACAGATAATCTTGCTCAGGTGCATGCGGCCCGCAAAAGTCACAAGTTCATCTTGATACTTATAATGCCATATAAAATTTTGTTTTAACCGGGATTCAAACCCAGGACATTCGAGTAAATTACACACAAACCACTCGGCCACGGAGGTCATCTAAATTCAAATCAAATTAAATAAAATAAAATTGGATTGATCGGTTAAGCCTATTCTTCGTCATACATGCGAAATGTTTAATGTTAATTTTCTGGCGGTGGTAGAGATTTTACAAAAAAGAAAATTTCATACAAACCTTTTCCTGACAATGACTACAAAACATATCAAAAAATGAATTACCTGATTTGGTTCAGTCTTTCGAATGTTATGTGTTTCGTAACTTAGATATATTTTTAATAGATAGACAGATACTTTTGAAAAACTGCTTTACCATAATAAACTATTTCAAATGAAATTTGCTTGAATTTTATGTTAATCATAATCTAGATATTTCAAATATGCTAGCATCTGCAATAGGCTTTTTAAAGGTATGAAAAATAAAGTACAATTAAGTATTAGCATGTGTATTTAACATGAATATTGTAAGCGACTTCACTATTCCGACAAATAAATAGTAGTAGTTGATAATATTACTAAAAATCATGATATAGAAAAGTATTTTGTGATCTATTGTCACGTGACCGAAAACCTAGGCGTTTTCTATTGGCGGAGTCTAAAATGACGTCATCTGCTTGTAAACATGCTGTTAAAGTGACATTAGTTTGTACTGTTTGAAGTTTTTCATTAGAGCCATGTGAAGTCACCAGCTTGTAAGACGCCATATTTGCTAGAGAAACGTTTTTGCGGCATATTTGAAAATATAATTTGTTATCTTAGTTTTTTTACTGATTTATGCCACAGAATAATAATTATCCACTTTTTTATGTAATACTTGCTTAAAAGACCCAAGATTGCTTAACAGACTGAAGATTGCCTAAGATGTCCAGGACGACAGCCTGTATGAGATTAGTATGGCTCTCCAACAACTTAAAAACAAGAAGGCGGCGGGCGATGGAATCACTACAGAGCTTCTGAGAGCGGGCAGTAACTTATAGTCCTCCAGAAGCTTTTCAATTGCATCATCCTCGAAGGCCAAAAGCCGAAAGCGTGGGCCAGAATTGAGGTTGTTTTATTCTTCAAAAAGGGTGATAGCACACTCTTGAAGAACTATCGACCAATCTCACTTCTGAGCCATGTCTATAAGTTGTTTTCGAGAGTTATCACGAATCGTCGCGCTCGCAGGTTTGACGACTTTCAACCTTTCGAACAAGCCGGTTTCCGTAAAGGCTTAAGTACCGTAGACCACATTCATACACTGTGACTGATTATACAGAAGACCGAGGAATATAACCTGCCACTTTGCTTGGCGTTTGTGGACTACGATGGAGCTTTCGATACGATTGAGACTCGGGCGGTGCTGCAGTCTATCCAAAGGTCCCAAGTAGACTACATTGGGAATACTCCACTTGAAGTTGTCGACCATTACCTGGTACAGACAGTCCAGTTAGGTAACTTTGAGAAAGAGGTTTCTCGTCGTATTCAGCTCGGATGGGCAGCGTTCGGGAAGTCACGTTAAATCTTTGCGTCCAAATTACCTGTGTTTCAAGACAAAAGTCTTTGACCAGTGTGTATTGCCAGGGATGACTTACGGAAGCGAAACGTGGTCTCATAAGAAGGCTCAAGGTCGCACAGCGAGCAATGGAGAGAGCGATGCTTGGTATTTCCCTGTGAGATATAATCGGAAATGAAGAAATCCGCAGTAGAACTAAAGTAACCGACATAGTTGACTCGAAGGATTGGACATCTGAAGTGGCAGTGGGCGGAACACATAGCGAGGAGAACCGATGGCCGTTGGGGCGCAAAGGTTCTCGAATAGCGACTACGTACCGGCCGACGCTCGGTGGGAAGGCCCCCCACCAGGTGAACCGACGATCTGGTGTAGATCAAGATCGCGTGGCATAAGACCGATCGATGTGGAGATCCTTAAGAGAAGGCATATGCTCAGCAGTGGGCTAGTACAGCTGAGATGATGATGATGATGATGACTTTTTTATGGAGTCACTATACACTAATAAATAAGTTGGTAAAGTCAAGTTTTCAAAAGCTTGTCAAATAGCCTATAATAAATAAATACAATAGTTTATAAATAGTAGTTTTTTTCTTTTTTGATGAACATGTCAAACTAATTTACGTTAAACATGTTTACATATTGACGACAAAATTTCCGGAAACGACTCTTGTTTTTTTATGAGGTTGCTTACTCGTTATTTCAATGTTATGGGCTTACTCAGTGAAGTGAAGTGAAGATAATAAACTTGATTGTCATAATGCAATTTAGATTATAGTTGCTATCTGTTATTTCTTTGCGATAATTCGAAATTCACAAGAGAGTCATATGGTGTATTTTTAATTGACTTTTCTTACTACGAGTCTCTACCATTCGAATTAATTTACAGGTATCGCGGGTAGCATGAGTTGCCCTTGCCAAAAAAACAACATGTCATGCCCTGCGGTACTGTTTAGGTAGGATTGTAGAGCCATGGTAAAGATATGGTTTTGTTTAATATTATTTAATTATATAGAATAAATATGGCATTACAGTCGAATCTGGCGCTACATTATAAGTTTGATTGATAATATTTTAGATTTAAATAGTAGTGTCGTAGACTAGCTGTAATATCGTAAAGATAGAGTTACTTAATAATGATAGTATTTAGCTTTTGCGTATAGAATTATAAAAGATGTTATATCTGCAAGGTGAGGATATTCGCAATTCAGTTTCTCTTACACTTAATATTAGAAAATCTGCTAAAATTTACTGTACATCGCAACAAGAAAACTAGGTTGAAAAAAATACTTGAGTTTCCTTATTTTTTATCATTATATATTAATATTTTGTCGTTATAGTGGGATATAGACATTTCACTAACAGCCCCCTTGACTGACCGACAGACAATAGTGAAGGCTTATTTAAACGTCCTTGTTGGGTATGGAACCTATAAAGGAAAAAAAATTGTTGACATTTCACAACTAAAATAACAAACCACAATATTATCACATACTTACACGATTCTGGATGTCAAGGACCTAGCGCCATCTATTATCGGGCGTGGGAACCGCACGCTGTGGTTCGTATATGTGTCGCTGAAAAATTTTCCCGCTTTCCCAGGAGCGAGACCGCAATGAGTCCAGCGCCCCCCGCGCAACGAGACAAAAGCAACGCGTTCGCTGCTGTCAGGCAGTCGCAAACTGTCGGCAGTGGAAAGTGCACGTCTGTCGTGATGGAACGCGATCGTATCGGACTATGGGGAAGCGGCGACGGCCAGTCCGTCAGCCGAATCTCCGGCCTCGACCGTCTGAAGCACCCCGGACTCAACAAGGTACGTGTGACAGCTGTTTGACAGATCAATGACCGCGCGTAATTCGGTTAGGTCATGGTTGCGCGATTCGCAAGTCGGAAGTGCTCGACTCTTACAGCAAATTGTATAATTTGCGTGCACTGACCCAGTTGATAGTGACCATTCATGTCTGTTGAAGACCGGCGCATCCGCCGATGTATTGTTTATGCCATTTCGTTTTGAACTTCGACCGTAAAGGTTTACGCGCTCGGGTGTCAACAAACTTATTCGTGTTTGAGTGTCGTTTTACGACTACCTATAAGTACACGTTAACATCCTCAATCACCGTGTTTTCCTATGATACAATTATCGAAGTATGAGGAAAATCAATATTTCCGGTATAAATATATAATATCCCATTAAATAAACTAGCTCATAGAACCTATTTTGATTTATTTTTTTAATTTCCGGAGTTTAATAATATGGTCCAATTATTTTTAATCAATGTAATTGCTTAAAGAACATAATCACCGTTTACAAGATTGTCGGAACTGTTTTGTTAAGCAACTCTTTAAAAAAAGTAATGCCTTGATAGAACTGAAAAAAAATTACTGATATAAAAATAATATTTATTTAGGTATTTGTGTCTTAGAAAGAAGTATTGCTTGCAGACATTAAACATTCTACGTAGACTAACTTTCCAATTCGCGTTAGCTTTCAGGTAAAATTTATATAACACATGACAGTGCATCCTTCACTGATAAAAAAATAGCTTAATTAACTTCTCAATTAAATATATATTGTATAAAAATTATGATCATCCTGAGAGTTTCGCACGTTAATATTTGTAAATAAATAACTATTCCTTTGAAAACTCGCTATCTAACTTCCGCACCCAGAGACGTCAGTTGAATTTAATTCCTGTTAAAGTGGTAGGTTTTTTATCCTCTTACTTTTGTAAAGGACAGTAACAACTTTTACCAAAATTTAATGTTGATAGTGTCTGCGGCTGTAAGGATAATTTTATGCTGACATTTAGTCACGGTCAGTATAGCTAGGTACATGCTTATTATATTAAGACGAAAATTATATTTTTTTGTTTTTATCGTGAAAACCCTTTTTCTTATAAGTTGGGATAAACGTAAAACCTACTTTGTAGATAGTTATGCATCATCCGTCATCGTTGTATTGAAATAAGATGCGAAAATGTTTTACTGTTTTCGATCGTAATAAATGTTGATAATGTCAGCATTTCTCAATCCATTAAGTTCGGTTCAGCCTAATCTAATTTCGGATGAGAAAATTCCATTTCAGCACAGTAAAACCGTCCATTGAATGAACACGTAATCTTCTTAGGGATGCCAATGCGTTTCCTCAATTTACCATTGTGTAATAATGTCTGCGTGATGGATTTTATGATCACATCATGTAGTTAAACGAAGACCCGTCACACACCGAGACTCCTCATCACAATATTGAAAGTAAAAACCCTCTATTCATCTGTCTTCCTTCAAGCTTTTTAAATAAACCTATAGAAAGAAATAGACATTAAAATATTTTGATGTAAGCTTTTGCGATGATTCAATGCAGAATAAAGTAATATTTTTGCGTACCTTACTTAACAAAACATTTTATTTTGTTGGAGTACACAAAATAGATCGCTTTCAACTGTATCGGGTAAAGTACACGAGAGAATAAAATTACCGCGTACAAAAAGTCCCCGGAACAACCGAGGACGCCGAAAGGCCGATCAGGTACAGGAACAGAAAGTGTGCGGGAGTCCCCGAAAGTAATAGAACTCATATGACTAGCTACGTGCAGCAACGCACACAGAGAAATTTAGTCTGCGTTACGCACTCGATCTGATTTGAAGAATTAGACCCATTATTCTCTTATAAAAAGTCTCTCATTTTCTTAAACTTCAAAAAGACAAAGTAATCTGAGAATATTTACTTCTATAGCGTGCGCTTTTCCAAATTTTCGGGTGACAAATGTTCGCACACCGTATGCCTTTTGCCCTTCGCGGACAAGAATCCCTCGTCTGCGCAGCCCATAATTATGACTACTTGCATTCGTTCAGTAGTCAACAAATACTTGCCTGTTCCGTGGATTCAAGTATTATCTAAAATATTCACGCTTCATTACCCGTTTGTGAATATATTTTAAAATTTATACGAAGTAATAAAAAATCTAGCGTCAACGTTACTTCTATGAAACTTTATATTTCGCATAGCAACAGCTTACGTAACAGCTGAAGGAAGATCCTTAGATGTAGTTTACATAAATCTCTGGGACATCAAGATCTTTCGCCTCGAGTTTTCTGTAGACGCAAAAGTTAATGTTTGTCGTCTCGTCTGTCGGGCTGGCTTTATCCCTAACGCTACCCTTGTGGTTACATAATGTCGGAATTACTTAGGAGTTCACCCTTTAGTCTGTGTTTAAGTTTACCACTCTTGTTATTAATGCATTTGAATTTATTTCACATTAAGCGATATGAACAATTTTTTTGTTCGATATCTAAGAACAGCAACTACTTTCAGATATTTTCTTTACTTTTGTCTAAAAAAATCAAATTGCCAATTTTTCATGACAGTGGTCAATGGATGGATGGATGATGAATGGATTAATGAATGGATGGTTATTGCGTTTCTTCAAGAGTGGCTGAGGAAGCAATTCTCATCTGCACTCAAGTAACTGAAAATGATCTTTCCTTTTCAATAATACCTAAAAATTTTAATGAATGATAAAAATTATTATTGTTATTGTCCCTTATGGCGACGCACTGAAGAAAATTGAAGTGGCCTGTAGTTCATTTCAATTCAAAGCGTAAATTACATTATTTATTTGAGCCGCATTAAACATCTATCCAAAATTCAATTAAATTAATTAATTAATTCATCTATTCAATTCCACAATTACTCGTTATTACTTTCATAAGATATAGTTCGTATAAGAACCATTATTTTTAAAAATCAATTTCGGAGTTGTTTCAATAAACAATTCAAAAGGATAGCTGTAAGCCTTTTCTCAGTCTTTCCTGTTGTTTCATTCTACCATTACTATTTTTGTACAAATGCCAAGAAAAACTATGTACATTATGATATAATGGACAATTACTTATATATTTTATTCCATCGTCATCATTAGGTATAGATAAGAATCTATATTAATTACCTAGATACGCCATAGGTAATATTATTATACTATCAAATAAGTATTTTATTTGTTAAGGAATAATAAGCACCTACAATCCACGTTCTATACTATATTGAGATACTATTACACACTATACCACATAGAGTTTAACGTCCGCCCTCGTCTGACCGGATGGAATATTTGAATACCTGAGTTTTGTTTCTCGTGGTTTGTGTTGCCTATTGATTTTCTTATGGAATGAGGGGTAAGTTGGCTAAGGTAGTGGCACTTATACACGTCAAGAACAAGAGGAGTAGGTAACTGATCATTAAATCAATATGATACAGATGAGTACATTGGTAACATCGAGCATCTATAGATGTTACCGTATTTAGTGATCGGCTCCCTTTTTTTTATTAGGCACGCAAAACCTCTATTTACAGACGTTGGAGCCCTTAAGGGGCACACCAACAAACGGACCTCACACCTAGCTTCTCGCAAGTCTCACGGGTGCGAAACGGAAAAGCCGTTAAGCAGTCCGCGTGGCTTACGAGCGGTTGCGGCATACTATCCGCTAAAAAACCCTGCGAATACCCTCTACGCTGTTAAGTGTGTAACCGCGAGATCCCCGTTGAGGTATTCACCGCATCTCTACTCTTATTTTCACTGATCACAGAAAACATGACAATCATTCCAATCGATCACAAAATATGGTAACATGGAGTTATAGACGCTCAAACGTTACCATAATTAGTGATCGATTCCCTACTCTAATTTTCATTGATCACTGAAAAAAAAATCGATCATTGGTTCTTGTCGGTCATTGGTGCAACTACCTTACTTAGGGGAGTCCTAATAAACGTAAATAGTGCCTTCGTGTCGTGTGCTGACGGCGGCTATCGATTTTGTGAGGGCGAACGAGCGAATATGTAGACTGCTGAGTGCTGGCACCAGTGAAACTGGCAGATGTGACATACCCGCTGAATATTAATTTTGTGTTATGGAGGTCACATGGATACTTAACCAGAAATACCTATAAGAAAGGAAAATCTTTGTTTTTATCACGCAGCAAAAATTTTTGGAACTTAACATGCTTTCTTATTTAGCTATATCATCATTTATTTGTTTCTAGCTACTATTATTTGTTAGTATTTTTTTTACTTACGGTTAAATAAAAAGTTGTTAACTCTCTATTCACTATAGAGACACAGGGCATAGAGTATTTTATATAACTATTTTTTAATAGCGCGAAAAATTATGTCATTAATTTTGAATTACTTGAAGGTGGAAAGACGTCATGAAAATAAAATGTGTAAAGAGTTTGACATGATGAAGTCAATTTACCGCGACACCTTTATTATATACTGCAATTAAATACTATCATGAAACAGTGATGGACGTTACTTGTTTTTAACAAGCACAGTCTTTTATCTGACAATGATCCCATTGTTTAACATTGCCAAGCTCAAGTGTTTTGCTACGTCGCAGACAAATGTATTAAAACAACCTAGGAACAACATGCATCCACATGCTTTAAGTAATTTTTGTAATTAAGACGTCCCAAAGATTCGTCGATTAAGTTTAAAGAAAAAATATTACTATCGCAAACGTCAATATCATTATTAAAATCTTATGTAAGAAAAAAAAATGATTTATTGTCGTTCGTTGTTATATTAGTTGCGATTATATTTATTGTTTATTAATATATATTTTATGAGTATACATTTGGTTTGCGTAGGTACCTACAGCATGTTAGTTTAATTGATAAATATTCAATAGCTTTCTTACAAACTATGATGCAATCTTCAAAATTCAATAGATATTCTGTGAAGTGAAATAAACCAAACTAGAATGAAGATACAGTATCTAGTATCGAATTAGAATAATTTCTGCGACCGGTGTGCACT